GAAGAGAAGAGAAGAGAAGAGAAGAGAAGAGAAGAGAAGAGAAGAGAGAGAAATGGAGAAGAATAGAGAAGAGAAGATAGAAGGATGGAGAAGAGAAGAAGGAGAAAAAAGAAGGGAAGGGAAGAGGAGAGAAGAGGAGAGGAGGGGAGAACTATCTAACTGGACAGACAGGTTTCATTTAATGGACTGTATATGTTTAAAAAGTGTAAAATACGTATGTATAAACAAATTGCATGTAAAAACAGGACCCTCCTCGCTGATTCCCAAGTCCCATCTGATCATTGGTTCAGATCAAGGTCTTGGACTCAAAGTTCTCTGGACTTTATATCCTTCCCTCCCTCTCTCTTCCTGCCCTTCTCTTCAGGGACCCAAAGGGCAAAAGAGCTTTTGATGGCCTCGTGCCATCCACCAGACTCCCAATCCAGGACAATTAAGCCCCCATTCCCACCCACAACTCTGCAAAACCTTTCGCTGTCCCACCCTGGAGGGTCTTGGGTAGAAGAGCCAACCTTCTCCTCTCCCTGAGGCCCCCACCAGAGTCCGAAACGTCTGAATCAGGGCTGGGATTCTACCGGTTCGCACCTATTCGCTAGAACCGGTTGTTAACATTCTAAGCAGTTCGGAGAACTGGTTGTTAGAAGAAATTACAGGGCTAATCCTGTAAGGAAGGCAGGAAGGAAACATTCTGGTGTTGCTGACAGAAACTGCCTCTCCGTTAACCCTTATTACATTCTTGGCAGGACTAGACTTCCTGTCTCAGGAACTTTTCTGGAGTTTTTTCCCCCTCCTTTGCTGGTACTTTGCTTGTGTGGAGTGACCCTTCAAAGTTACAATGGCACTGAAAAAAGTGATTTATGACCCTTTTTCACACTTACGACTGTTGCAGCATCCCCACAGTCATGAGAGGCCAGGCGAGGAGATGCATGCCTCAATGTGAGTGATGTTGAGTTGGCCACACCCAGCCAGTAACATGACCACCAAGCCACGCCCACCAACTAAGCCACGCCCACAGAACCAGTTGTTAAAAAATGTGAATCCCACCCCTGGTCTGAATACCTGAGATTTTAATTTTCTTGACCATCTTGTTGGTGTTGTTGGTCACGTGGACGTTAACGTTGATGGGTTCTCCATGATAATAGATCTGTGGGGAGACAAGCCACAGATGGAGAAGGCCTTCAAGGGGAATCTACTTGGAAGGAATTCTCCTTCAGGATCTCCAATCATGGAACACCCTTTTGTAGGGCTCCCCAATTCCACCCAGATCTTCTGAGACCCCCAGCCCCCGAAAATAGGTTGCCCCAGCCAGTACAAGGCTCGTATCTGTTCTGACCCAAACCTGGTTCCAAGGAAACAAACACAAAATGGAGGTAACAGCAAAACCTTTTCATGATTCTTTACGAATTCCGTTCCTTCCCGGTTAAAAGGCTGTTTCAAACTCATTGTCTCTGATAAGAACGAGCCTTGCCAAGGTTGTGCAAGGCTGCCAAGAACACTCGATAAAGTTGCCAAGAAATAGTTCCAACACAAAGAGTCTCCAAACACAAACTAAGAGAGTTCAAATGTCCACAAGGCTTGAGTGCAAAAACGTCTTTGCTTCCTGCAAAGAACTCCAGTTTCTCAGCTGGCTTTTATCTCTTAAGGGAGGGTTCACTACCCTGCAGCCTTACTCCTGAGTCGCCTGTGCTGCTGCAGCTGCTCTTTCCTTCGAGCAGCCCTGCGCGCACACACACTGGGCACAGGCTCCTCGGGGGTCTCTTCCTCACTGCTGCCGGCCTCCACAATCTCCGAAGGCAGCACTCCACCCCCTGATGGTCCTCACTCCATCCCTGCCTCCCACGCAGGCCCCTCATCCGAGTCCTCGCTCTCCGAAACCTCAGCCATCTGCACCTGCTGCTGGTGAACCACAACACAGACATATGCAGTTCCTGCAACCATTCTTCATATCTTTTATGCGTTCAGTCCCCTGATCATCTATGTTGCTCTTAACAGATTTAACAGATAATCAGAGTTGGAAGGGACCTTGTAGGTCATCTAGTCCAACCCCCCACCCAAGCAGGAGACCCCACACCATTTCTGACAGATGGGAATCCAATCTCTTCTTGAAAGCCTCCAGGGATGAAGCTCCCACAACTTCTGAAGGCAACTTCTGTTCCATGGGTTGGTTGTTCCCACTGTCAGAAAGTTTCTCCTTATTTCCAGGTTGAATCTCTCTGTTGACTCATAGAACATTCCTATGCCTGTTTTAGTAGTTGCCATAAAAAGG